CTGGATCCGGATGAGTGTACCCATAATAGGGCGACCATAATGATTACGCCATGGATCCGGTGGATCTGAAGATATTACAGCTGGGATGATGGGTCAAGGAGAGAAAGGACATGCAGCCGAGCCGGGTAAGGGATTTAACAGGTAAAAGACATAGAAGGTAGAAACCCAGGCAAGTATAGGATTAAGTATCAATACAGACTTCAATTTGCACAGTAACACACAAGTGCCTTCCCGCCCTCAAGAACCGGAACTACATTGGCCGTACGAGCTCCGTGAAGGAATTGCGAATCTAGTGTTGGTAGCGATAACTGGATAATACATTGGCCAGATCCTACAACCTAGTGAGCTTTCCTTTACACGTGCAGATCCGACAGGTTAACCGTATTTACTACTTGGTCAGTTACACCCTAGAGGCTCTCAACTCTCAAGATCCCGTCACAGGAGGCGGCAAGTACGACGCAAAGGAAACGCAAAATCAAGGGAACACACCCGCAAGACAACCCTACGGCCAGATCCACGATCTAGGCCCTGGATCCACTTAAGCTCGAATATTCGCTTAGGATCCAGAACCATCCACGGACGCAGAGTGAAGATTTTGCACTGCTGCTCCACCCCATCCCCACGTCTCGCCAAGACACTCAAGCTGCACCACTTGAGCTCTTCGGAAGTTACCGAGAGAGCAAGATCCCGCCCTACCGACGGGTACACAAGGTGAGGAAAGTTCAGCAGAAAACGGATCATCGGGGGACCCCCTCCGTTAGTCGGTGTCTGGGCGCAGTTGGTAAGTTGGATCCAGCGATCTCGCAGATTTTGCTGATCCCGCTACACCACAGCGATGTCTGACTGCATCACGCCAAAGTGATTCCGATTCGTACGATCCCGCAAGAAATCATAGAGCAATGCTTCACAGTTCAAATCCGCCTCGTCTACCCAACTGGGTTCATCATATTCACGCCAATACTCCAGAAATTCGACCTCGTCGAAACCCCTCGGTTGGATGCATCTACTGAGAGGTGGATCTTAGGTCGGTTCGGATATTCTTTGACTAGTTTCAGCTTAAACACATGTACCACAGGGAACAAGCGATATTTGGTGTCCACCGTTTCCAACTTCACAGTGTGGTAAAGTGCTTTCTCAGAAATAAGAGAATGGACCAGACGCGGGGTCACTATCCCGAATCAGTGACAATTTCAAGTGATTAGAGAGGATTTGGATTGCCTGGCACGGATGCAAGTTGCCTGTGGTGGATTAGCCATGACGAGCAACACCTCGTATGGGATGACGATGGATCTGGTATTGGTGATGTACGGGAAGGCAAGATCCACCAAGACTTACCTCGGATCCACCCTTACTTGGATTCACCTAAATGGATATGGGATATACTATACAAGAGTGGATCGGGTGTGGATCCTATGAAGGAATGGTGGTAGGTGTCATCTGGAGGTGGATCTAGTAACCACGGCTAACAAGAAGTCAAGATCCACCGCGAGGTGTCCCGGATCCCCTATTTCCGAGTTCGGATCCAAGGAGGGAGGATCCCGCATAGAGGGACCTAGATCCAGGGTACAGGGATGATGGATGCAGTGGATCTGGAACTTTCGTGGGACAATGGAGATCACAGACGGTTGCAAGATGATGTTGGATGATGGGAGAGCTTGGATCCACGGCGAGTGTACAATTACAGTGAGGTGGATCCCAAGCGACCTGGATCCGGATGAGTGCACCCATTATAGGGTGACCATGATGATTACGTCATGGATCCGGTGGATCTGAAGATAACACAGCTGGGATGATGGGTCAAGGGAAGAAGGGACATGCAGCCGAGCCTGGTAAGGAATTTAGCAGATGAAAGACATAGAAGGTAGAAATCCAGGCAGGTATAGGCTTAAATATCAATACAGACCTCAATTTGCACAGTAACACGCAAGTGCCTTCCTGCCCTCAAGAACCGGAACTACATTGGCCGTACGAGCTAGGAGAAGATTGGGAATTGCAAATCTAGTGTTGGTAGTGATAACTAGATAATACATTGGCCAGATCCTACAACCTAGTGAGATTTTCCTTCCCTTGTGCAGATCCGACAGGTTAACCGAATTTACTACTTGGTCGGTTACACCCTAGAGGTTCTCAACTCTCAAAATCCCGTCACAGAAGGCGGCAAGTACGACGCAAAGGAACCACAAAGGCAAGGGAACACACCCGCAAGGCAACCCTACGGCCAGATTCACGATCTAGGCCCCGGATCCATAAGCTCGAATATTCGCTTAGGATACGGAACCATCCACGGACGCAGAGTGAAGATTTTCCACTGCTGCTCCACCCCATCCCCACGTCTCGCCAAGACACTCAAGCTTCACCACTTGAACTCTTCGGAAGTTACCGAGAGAGCAAGATCCCGCCCTACCGACGGGTACACAAGGTGAGGAAAGTTCAGCAGAACACGGATCATCGGGGGACCCCCGTCGCTAGTCGGTGTCTGGGCGCAGTTGGTAAGTTGGATCTGGCAATCTCGCAGATTTTGCTGATCCCGCTACACCACAAAATCCCTAAGAAAGGGAGCCGACGATCAGATATGCAGGCAGCTTGCTCGCTATATGGCATAGAGTACGTGGATTCCGACACCCGAGCAATTATGTGGGAAAAGTTGTTGCGTCACATCGAGCTGTTTGTCGATCCAGAGATTGTGTCGATGGCAAAGACGAAAGGGCACGACGTCATTTTCACACCGCCATACTACTCTGATTTACAGCCGATTGAATTTGTTTGGGCGAGTGTTAAGGGACAGGTCGGTCGTCAGTATACCGCTACCACTACATTTCAGCAGGTAAGGCAAAGGCTTGATGTGGTGTTTGGGGAAATATCGGAGAGGTCAATCCAAGGATGTATTGACAAGGCTAGAGCAAACTTGCTAGATCTTAGTGTGCATATCAAAGCACAAGATGAGGTTAGCGAAAGCGATTCTGATAGTAGCTCCGAAAGTGACGGAGTCAGTAGCGCGAATGAAGATTCTGCGACGTAATCTTTAACGTAAAAAAAAAGACTTGTACTAGGACTCTCATGAATTCAACCCGGTACACCAGTAGAGTGTTGATTCATCTTGTATACTGTCGATGGAATTTGAAGGAAGCGATCATGCAGAAATGGTATCATTTCTCTACGATTGTGTCTCACACTGCTACCAAATATATTCTGATTAGCTGAATATATTGAGAATGCAGTGATATTATTGGGTGAATTTAAAGCTTAAATAAAGACCTGTACTCTTAATAAAAAGTGTCTAAAATTTTAAATCGACTATATTTCAAAGGTGGTTTCTAAGAAAACTACGCCGTGCCACACAATGGCAGTTCTATTTTCGTAATCACGAGGACTAGGCGAATCCGTACATACCAAATTTATAGGGGGTAGAAAATCACTCTCGATGCTGTCGAGGACTATAGCGAATTTCACCCGTGCACATAGTAGTCCTAGGGGGTTTGTTATCTAAAAAACCTTCACCTATAAGAAGCCCTGTCTTATATTCGAGTTATTACATTTTTTGCTTGACCAAGTCTGAGCCAGCACGTCCATCGCACTTGTCGGATATTTACGGCCGGTGTTCTTCCATTACTCAAGTTGAGGATGAGCCGCAAGAGGTCTTCGATTGGGATAGAAAGTGTAACAGGACAGTACCGCAGCCGGCGCTGGGTACGCAGACGAAGGAGCCGTCCGGTAATGCGAAGCACCTGACGGTGCTATTAAAGTGCCATTTTCTACTAAACCGGGCTGAAAACCTCATTCAACGCCTCCATGATTTATCACCAAGTACGAGCACTAATTAGTAATAGCAGAGCAATTTGAATGCAAGCACGATAAATATTAGTGTTTCTGTATTCGATAAGATTAATAAGTACATGTATTATAATACACGATGGATATTCCAAGAGAGAGGAAGTATGGTATGCAAAACGGCACCCGCTCTATATGTGATTTTACAGTGTTTCGCTCGTGTCTGAGAACATACCATGTTACCGCTATGTACTGCTCTCAGAAATCCCATGGCGCAAAAGAGGGATTAATTTGGTTTTGTAGGTCTCGTATGTTCTAACTTGCAGACAACGTGACAACCAGCCACCGACGAGCTTGAAGCGCTTTGGCAAAGCCCGGGTGCTACTAATAATCTGCGGTATTGTTTGCGAGCAAGCGCTTTATTTCCGGTTGTGTGCGGGGAGAACTTGCAGCTCCATCCCATCGGGTCGTGGACCACCTTACAAAATGTAAGTTACAAAACAGTGAACGTTAGGTGGTGTTTATCGGCGCAACGCCGGTATCAATAATGTTCGCGTCGAGTTTGCAGCAAATCTGAGCCACGGCAATTGCGGTTGTTGTCGTTCTTATTTCATGATACTGTATGGGTTACTATTAATACTACCATTTGTACTTCTTACTTACACGTAATGCAACTCGCCTTACTGACACGAACAATGAAACACTTGCATGGACAATCGCTTGTGGTGCCGCAGAGACTGGTGAACGAGGAAGGCTATTGAGCGGCTCAACGGCTCAACTTGAGCCCCACCATCGCAGGAGCGAGCATCTTGACAAGTCGCCCGCCTCACGTGCAGATAGGATAGCCTGCTTCATGCATACCGGCAATACATGCTCACTTTTCTCATCGAGCGAAGCTTACAGCGTACCGGTAATCCTTACATGTACATGAGCATGTATTATTAATAACGTGCAACAAGAAAAAAACGATAACGATCACATGGAATAAGTACATGTGCCC